TGTTGTCTGAGAGTTGATTGATAGCTTTTAGGTGTGTTATTGGCAGCACCACCCTCTGGTTACATGAACGCATCACCACCGCATCAGCAGCAAAAACATGGGGATTTTTTTAGACAATCGCACAACCTATTCGATATTCTATAATTAAATGGTGACTCATCCCTACTGATTTAGTTTGATTGAAATGATTGATTTATTTTCATTTATGGCATTGTTTATTATATTATTAATTAAATTAATGGAATTTTCCTTTTTAGGTGAAAAACGCACCTGAAAATCAATTTAAGGGGACAGATATGGTCCCTTAATGCAAAGGTGTAAATGCAGTCTAAATGGAAGAGAAGGGGGTACGCAGGAGGATGTTAACTACCTCATTGATTCACTAGTTGATTGCTGTTCAGCAGGGCAGGAATCATAAGTGCTCATCTGAACGTTTCCATATGCTTAATAACGTGATGTTTACTGATGTCAAAGAAAACCGATACCTTTGTTTAATGAAAACGCCCTCCCTGAGTCAAACTAAACTGTTTTCCCAGTGAACTCTGCAGAGGCTGCTGTGATGGTTGCCTGTGGACAGTCAATGAGCTGTGAAGGCAAACAGCAATAGCTGATTGCTCGGAAAGCCGTTTTAGGGCACAGGGAAAAAAAAGTTTGAGTTGAAACTTGCCTACAGGTTTATATTTTAGGTCACATTATTTATGTTAACATACTTTAACTGAATGTCTGTCAGACAATAGTTTGTGCTGAGGTTTAGAACACTGTCTGATATCTCTGATGTGTGTTTAGTCATGCCAGGGAGTTCAAAAGACATCTTTTCCATCGTGACTCACTCCTGAACCATGAGCCTCTCAGAGGCCCCCCACTAAAGGAAGCTGTTGAAATGATTGCTGCTGCTCTCTCTTCCTTTTTTAGCACATTAACAATTTCCTCTATGGCACCGTCACAATTGCTAGTGGGTATGAACTATTCCAAACACTGTGTTCTCGGGAAATACTTTGAGCCTTTTGTGTTGTTGTTCTTCAGATTTAAGCCCCTAATAAGTGTGGTCAGATTTTAGATATTACGAATGGCTTCCTTGATGTTCCACACTGATTAAAAAACTTGAGCAGTTCATAATTTAAAAAAAAAATTAATTTATTAAGCTAGGTTTTTGACCTTTTCTCATTAGTGACAACACTAATCCCACGCCAAAATTCAAGCCCTGTAACAGCAACAATATTCATTCGGAGGCAGAGCAATAAATAATTTAATCCAGATTTAGATTCAACACTTGCCACTGCAGATTAAATATGTATTTTTGATGGCCTTTTCTGTGCTGTCTTTTTATTTGATTCTGATAAATAAGTTGAGAGAAAGGGAAGAAGTCTTGTAACATGCCCAGTAGTCAGATTTTCAAACAGCTCAGTTTTCCTTTAGAGTTCATATTATATCTAACATCAGTGTCCTTGTCGCGGTATTTTTGTACAGATGCAGCAGAAAAGCAGGAGATTGTTGAAACCAGAGACAGTATGAAGGCAAGGACATTTGACTTCTCAATGCGCTGTTGTTTCTCCTAGTGTTAGAGTTGTGTAACAGCTAGTTAAATACCTCTATGGTACATCTTTTTTACCTTGCTCATCAGATGCACCCCTGAGATGTAATTTCAGGTAGGAGTCTGCACCTCTGAAACATAATCTTCAAGAAAGAGAGAGGTGACATTGGCGACTGAAAGCCCTCAGTTGCATCCACAGTGCAATGTGTCCCCCCCCTCCCACCCCCACACGCAATTGTAGACTTCTACCTGGACTGAGTAGTGAATGGGGTTAGCACTCCTCCTAGGGGAGAAGAAAATGTGTTTTAAATGCAGGCAAGCATTTAACTTGCTTTCCCGGAAGTGATTATTATTATTATTATGTACATTTGCCCCAGAAATGACACTGACAATTTACTCCACTATATCGACTTAATTCAATTATATTTTAATTGACGTTAGTCTTCATTACTTTCAGATGAAGGTTTCTGGTCCTTGAAATTACAATTTCAAGTAACATGTTTGAGGATTGAACATAAACAATTAATGTTAAGTGCGATGTAGTCTTGTCAGTGAAACAGTGAATTACTCTGAATTATTCTATTTCCCCTCAACTTTGCTGTAGACTGAAATCTACTAGAGAGAGAGAGAGAGTAATGGTGTGTATCTGCTAGAGTATCATTATGGTGGAATGCTCTGCCAGACCTCAGACTCCACTGTAACCAGTGGCAGATTTAGGCACACATGTGAATATGGAGGCTCTTATGGGCCCCTGACAAATCAATCATCGCCCACAACCAGTCACAGTCCAGCAGTGGCAGTCAGAAAGAGTACTTTGCATCTTTTTGAGAGTTTTAAAGTTTTGAAATCCTAACATTGTTGCAATTTACACTTTCTGCCACTCCCATATATTTTTGTAACCTGACTCCGCCAGATGGATTTGCTCCGCATATCCATCTGGAAACCTTCCGTTGAAGTAGTTTTGGTAAGGGGCGAAAATACTGGTTAGCTGATTGGCCTATGTTGGTGATAGACGGGCCAAATCAACCAATCAGATCAACGAAGCATATGACGTACTAACAGAGCGTATCTTTTCCTCTGAGAAAAGCCTCCAGAGCAGTGTTTTGCTCTTCTTTCAGTGAAGAAATAGTCTGTAATTCCGATAAAACTTGCTCGATAGCCACGCTGATGCTAGTTTCATCCGCTGAAGCCGACATGTTCTTTAGACTGAACTGACGCGCTTCTCGTTGCGTCACACCTCAACCCGCCTCAAAGCCAACGCTGATTGAACGTTCGTTTGGTGAACTGCTCCCAAATTTTCTTTAACGGAAAGTATCCAGACTGATCTGCGAGTGAAACCTTGAAAGCTCGCGAGATCAGGATGGTCTCACGAGGCTAATATTTTTGTACAGTTGGAGTGAAAACCAGATCCTTCAATCCAAAAATCATTCCTCAAGCACTGACCCTGAGTAGAGAATAGAGGGAAAAAAGGAGTAAAGCATGATGGAAAAGGGATCCCCAGGGTTTCTTTTTGGGACTTTGCCCATTTGATCATCATTGTCCAGCCTTCTCCTAATGTGAAATGTTCATGCTGGCCCTGTGCATCAGGGTCTGTCTTCATAAAGGGGGATTGTCTCCCTTAGCCTGGGCTCAAGGCCACACAACCTTTTACATATGCTTTATGAGTAGCTCAATTACAGAAATTACCTCATTGAAATCCCTTGCGAGCAGTTGAATGAGATTAAGTCTAGACTAATAATTCTCTTTAAGAGTTGATTTTTATAGTTTAGTAAAGTAACATGAGACGGTGTGTTTGATCTACTTAAGAAAGTAAGTTATGGAGTCTGTCCGCACCCTGAACGAAAGCATTTGAGAGACTGAATGCTTCATTTAGTTTGCGGTCTAGAATCGTGTCAGACTGAGCGCATCAAAGGCAGCGTCTCGCAGCCTCACAAGCTTTATCTGGACTTTTAACTGCACTGCCTCCATCAGCTCTGTTTTCTCAGGGTGTTTCTCCAGCACCCTTGTTTGTGTTGTGATCAACTGTCTTGCTAATGTTTCCTGCTGTCACGCATATGTGTTGTCTTGTGCTTTAACATTTAAATTGGCAAGGCTTAAATGAGTTTAGTTTAAACACAGATAGCAACGTGTGCTGTTCAGGTCTCGCCTGCGCTCACGCGCTATCAACACCCGGGTGATAACGGCATAAATGACTGGTCGTGTTCGAGTAAACGGCACTCGCATTGAACAAAGTTTACAAAGACAGACTGTTTTGTCCACCTTTTTGATCATCACTGTCGTAATGTATTAGGAAGCAAGAATGCATTTACCTACGCGTTATTTTCAACAAACCTTATAGTTGCGTAATCACATTTGAGGAAAATCTGCGGACTGCAGCTTTAAACAGGCTAGAAAATAATGAAGCAATAAACAATGAAGAAAAGTAAGTGTTCTTCATTGTACCATATTGCGAGTAGCGTTTCCTACAGACTTTCCTACAGATTCTAGTTTGGTGTATCCATCAATCACATTTTCAGTGTATGTACATAGTAGGCAATCCATTGAATTATGCGGTGAATTGAAGATCAGAAGCCCCTTTATCTTGCCCAGCTCTCTATTTAATCACTGAGTCCTAATAGAATTAGTCCAAGAGGAGAGTCCAGTCTAATTGTAAGATAGGCAGCACACGAAGAGGCTGTACAAGACAGACTCGTAATGGGATCTGAGGATGGAATGCAGCTGATAAAGCGAGCGCCATGTCACCCTGCCGCCCAATCTCTCAAACTGCTGCTTTGTGAGTGATTAGCTGTTTTACCGACAAGCCTAGACTGGAACATCTGCAGTGAAGTCATGCTCAACAGAAAGCTACAGCAGTACATACCCATGCACTGTGACAGGATAAGAAGACACTGGGAGATCAGTAGAGACATGTCTCGGAGGCCTTTATTTCAACTGAAATTCAGATAGAAAGGTATGAAAAATAAATGTTGGTGAGGGTGTGAAACAGAAAGGGACATGGTGATCTGGATGTATGCTAGTTGGTTTGGATTTGAACAGGAGCAGGTTTGCTGTCACAAATACAGAGGGGGAGCATAGGATGATAAATAATAAATGTAGGACATGCTGGCCTTATTGAGGATTGTCACAACACTGAAATTTCAGTAATCAATTTTAATTATTATTAATTAGATTAAAATTAAACCAGTATTATGTAGACCGAAGGTTGTAGTTTGAATTAAATATTTCTTCAACATTTATTATTCAAGTAAATATTAAATGACCTGTGTTTGAATTAACAGCATGTGCCTTTGACTGTTTACATGAACAGCCACATTACTCACAAAATGAGGGTTCAAAAGCAGCGGACTATCAGCCAGAACAGGCTACTGAATTGAGTACTCTGCACTACAGATAATGCAGAAAGACTGGTATAAATGCTTTGTGTGTCTGTGCACCTAGCTTGTCATTGATTGTGTCTCGTCACATACAGCAGGGCAGAACCCTGACCACGTGCTGCAGGGCACTGGGGTGAAGCCTGGCTCAGACTCCAGAAGGCCCGGGGGCGATTCTACTGTGGCACCAGAAGATGCTGCCCGCTTCCTTAGCTGCCACTGCTTAGGTCACTGCCCTGATGACGCCAAGAACAACACCTGCGAGTAAGTGTCACAGGCTATGGCACCGTTTTAAGTGATCATTGTTTAATGTGATTATATGTTTGTGCTTTGTTTATATGTATTCAAAAAAATGTACGTTTTCTTTGAAACCCAACAGGACAAATGGTCAGTGCTTCGCCATCATTGAAGAAGATGAAAATGGAGTGGGGATCTTAAGCTCAGGCTGTATGAAATATGAAGGCTCTCACTTTCAATGCAAGGTAAGGAAAGTTATGTCTCTTAAGTGTCTTGCACTTTGACTTGCATGATTAAATATCACACTTTGTAAGTTTTAGTCACTTGAGACATGGATTTTTCACAGGATTCGCAGTTTGCACAGCCACGTCGAACCATCGAGTGCTGCCAGTTTGACTTTTGTAACCGAGACCTAAAGCCAGAGTTGCCGCCTCGAGACTCGGGTAAGCTTCAGTACTATCTGCCTGGCAGTTGTATGGCATTGTAAGGTTATCTGTGAAGGATTACAGATTGTTGATTTAAACCTTTTAGCAGGGTAACATTATCTAGCTAGCTTAAAAAAGATTGCAGGGGAAATTGTCACAATAACTTGTAGTCTATGAAGCATCAAAATCATTTGAAAATTCCTTATCAATTAAAAATGTTTTATATTGTGTGACATAATTTTGCAGCAAAACTGTTTGAACACTACTGTTTAAAATAAATGTTTGTAGTCAGTAAGGTTTTTTTTTTTTTTTTTTTTGAAAGACATTAATACTTTTGTTCAGCAAGGTTGTATTCAATTTAGGGATGCACTAGTTGACCGGTCATAAATAGTTTTTTTGTAACTATTTTTTGCCCGCGTGCACAGACTACATAATCATTCGCGAACATGTCATGCAGAGCTACCTGTCTGAGGCACAGATACCAAGAAGCGAACAGCCGTTAGTGAACTGGCGCACAAATAAGAGCCGCTTTCCTGCGCTCGCTGAAGTTGCGCAAGTGAACCTGTCCGCAACCTGCAGTAGCGTAGACAGTGAACGCTTGTTCACCTCAGCTTCTCACGTGTTGGATGAGAAACGAAAGTTGAACCCAAATTAAAAACAAAAGCTAAATGTTGATGCTAAATGTCTGTATCTATCTAATGAATGTGCTTTATGCGCAGTTTCTGCCGTTAATTTCAGATGGTTACAGTTATTGTTTTTAATAGCTAAAAGCCAGTTTGGCCTGTAAAGTACCAAATAAAAATCTTGTTTATTGTTTATCTTCCATTCTTTCTTGTTTGTTGCTTAAAGAAAATAAAACCGGTATCGGAATCAGTTTGCTTGTAAAAAATCGATGGACGTGTTTTCTCTTGATCTCTTTACAGTACCACAAGACCCTCACTGGCTGGCCTTCCTCATTTCAGTGTCTGTGTGCTTCTGCACCCTCATCTGTGTCACTGTCATCTGTTATTACAGGTGAGATCATCACCGCACTGAAGCGCAAAACACACTGAAGCTCTTACAAAAAAATAGCTACTTGTGTTGTGGCCTGTTTTCCCACATCACTGAACTGTAACCGTAACGCTGCTGTGTTTTTGCACAGCACCTTTGAAAACACATGCCACCCACATCATGGCCTGTTGTTGTTGAAAGACAAACTCTTATGTTACTGCAAGTAGGGGCAAGACTCTATACCTTGGGTACACAACTGGGAAAAAGTTTGCCTTCATAACAAATGAATCTTTTGTTTGTGTCTGTTTACTGAACTATCTGTTAAAAAGTGTTGTCTGATAAAAGTCAGGAAAGAGCTTTCTGATGTCAGGTATGGATGTAAAAAAAAAAAATGTGACTGTCCTGTCCTCAGGTATAAGTGGCAGACAGAGAGGCAGCGCTACCACAGAGACCTGGAGCAGGATGATGCCTTTATCCCAGCAGGAGAATCTCTTAAAGAGCTCATCAACCAGTCTCAAACCTCAGGCAGTGGCTCTGGGCTCCCCCTGCTGGTGAGAAATCAGAAATGCAGACTGTAGGATTTTAGTATCAACAGCTTGTTTTTTCACAGTTTCTAATCACATTTTACAGGTGCAGCGCACCATTGCCAAGCAGATCCAGACAGTGCGCCTTATTGGAAAGGGGAGATATGGAGAGGTGTGGCTCGGTCGATGGAGGGGGGAGAAGGTAGCAGTGAAAGTGTTCTTTACTCGAGAGGAGGCCAGCTGGTTCAGAGAGACTGAGATCTACCAAACTGTGCTTATGAGACACGAGAACATACTAGGTACACTTCATGTCATTCAAGATTGTGTAGTGTTTTTAATTGTGTATCAATTCCATGTTTTCCTATGTGACGTGATTCTCTTCATTCTGCCCGAAGGCTTCATTGCTGCTGACATCAATGGCACTGGAGCCTCTACGCAGCTGTACCTGATCACAGACTACCATGAGAACGGCTCTCTGTATGACTATTTGAAGTTCACCACTCTGGACACACAGGCCTTGCTCAGACTGGCCTACTCTGCAGCCTGTGGCCTGTGTCACCTGCATACAGAGATCTACGGCACGCAGGGAAAACCAGCCATTGCTCACAGAGACTTGAAGAGCAAGAACGTCCTCATAAAGAAAAACGGCACCTGTTGCATCGCTGACCTCGGGCTTGCTGTGAAATTCAACAGGTGCTTTGTCACTTTGCATTTGTTTTAAAAGCTAGTTTTAAGTGGTTTGTTCAGTTATTATGAAGAAGTAACATTTTTTTGTCTCAGTGACACAAATGAAGTGGACGTCCCACTGAGCACACGTATGGGGACCCAACGCTACATGGCTCCAGAAGTCCTGGACGAGACTCTGAATAAGAACCACTTCCAGGCCTACATCATGGCGGACATCTACAGCTATGGACTGATTATATGGGAAATGGCCCGACGCTGTCTCACTGGAGGTATTCATAAGACAATGAATATACCGTAAAACTTCAAATAATAGCCCGGCTTTTATTTTCCCAAATCGTCGAACTGCACAGGCTTGTATTTGAGAGAGGCGTCTAAATGAGACAGGCCTTTATAATTTAGTGTTGAGATGTTGTTCATTGAGTGTAGGCCTAGAGTCTCTAATCTTTAAAAATCTCTAAATGCTCCATGTGAAACTGCGGTCTTCCGACCTTTTATTATCGTGTCAATTGATTTTGATTAATATGCACGCGCACGCGCGGCCGGGGCGCTCTCTCTCTCTCTCTCTGCTCGTAACGCGCCCTGTCAAGCGCAGCAGTCATTCTATTCTACATCACTCACCGATCAAAAAAGGCTTTGGCGGGACAAAAATTTGCTTTGGCGGCCGCCAAAAAGTGGACGATCTGACGGGTTTTATTAGATTAAATACAACCCGAAACTAAAAAACAGACCCGGCCTCTATTTGAGACCGGCCTTTATTTACCCAAACCTGCTGCCACACCAGGCGTGTAAAAGAGACAGGCGTCTATTTGAAATCAGGGTTTCCGCGGGGTCTTAAAAAGTCTCAAAAAGTCTAAAATTTCAAAATCACAATTTAAGGCCTTAAAAAGTCTTAAATTTGCTGATGTATTGTGTTCTAGGTCTTGAATCATTTTAAACAGGTCTTAATTTTCCTATGTCCATGTAAATCTCATTGAAATGCTCCCACAGCGCTTTGGAATGTTTTTTTTATTCCGTGGTGTTGTAGTTCCTTATTTCGTTAGTCCAAATATAATTCGCTGTATTACGACTACAAAATAGACCAACATGCAACAGCCAATCAGCTTTGAGCTTTCGTGTTATTGGCGCGTGTCTCAGATACCACAGACAGACGTAAAACGGATTTTATTCAGCTAACGTTATGGGGAAGTGCAAGTTTAGCGATACTTGGCTTGAAAAATCTGAATTTCATGCTTGGTTAAAGCCAGTTGCAAACAACGCATTTGAAGCATACTGCTTCTTATGCAAGAAAGCTATGAAATTGGGAACCTTGGGTGTACGGGCGCTGGAGTCACGTGCAAAAAGTGATAAACATCTAACTGCTGTGAAAGGTCTCCAGCAAACGACAGCCATCAGCCAGTTCTTGCAAGTATCTGGCGGCTCCAGCACTACTTCTACACTGCCTAGGCGAGGCCCACACAGTACCTCCGCAACTCCCGCAATCGACCTCCGTGTTGCTTTTGGATTAGAGCCAACACTAAAAGCGGAGGTGCTCTGGGTTCTCCACACGGTGACAAGACATTAGTCCTACAGTGCAAATGAGGAAATCTGGGAATTGTTTCAAACGATGTTTTCGGGCTCTGACATCGCTAAATCCTTCAGGTGCGGGAAAGATAAAACAGCCTACTTTACGCGCTTTGGAATAGCGGATTTTATAAAAACAGAACTAATTTCCAAAATCACGGGACCGTTCGTGCTGATGTTCGACGAAAGTAACTTACTATGTTCAGTTTGAATAAATTAAATTACTTGGCAAGTAATTTTGAGACTCCTTCGTACGTTTTTTTTTATGTCGTGATATAGGTCTTAAATTTTATTCATAATAGTCTTAAAAAGTCTTAAATTTGACTTTGTAAAACCTGCAGAAACCCTGATTTGGGACTCGGCTATTATTTGAAGTTTTACGGTAAGTTAAATTTCTTTTGTTTTGCTTTATAAATGTGCTGAGTTTCTTCATATCCAAGCCATGTCCTTTTAAAGTCAAAATGAAATGGAAATTCAACCTATTTTCTAAATGCATCCTAATGTACTTATTGGGAACCATTCATCCGTGTTTTTAATTTGAATTAAATTGTTAAATATTATGATTCTTTCTGGTGATGTATGCTGGACTTCTCTAGTCATTTAGTCACCTTAAACTCCGCCCCTTTCTTACAGTCAACTGCAAGCTTACATTCAGATCTGCCTTAATCCAATCAACAACTGATTAATTGAATCAAGCCCTAAAAGAAATTATTTTTGATAATTCTTTTCACTCAGATGTACATCACAATACAAAAGAAAAGATCTGTCACTTTTTCCATTACATCACAACTTTTAAATATTTTGTTCTAAAGCTATCTAAAATGAAAACGGCTCCTGTTGTGGATGTTTACAGAATTCAAACAGTAATTCATGAATACATCCACTGATTGTTTCCTAGGTATCGTTGAGGACTATCAGCTACCATATTATGAGATGGTGCCTTCAGACCCGTCTTATGAGGACATGCTAGAGGTTGTGTGCGTCAAAGGACTGCGGCCCACCGTATCCAATAGATGGAACAGTGATGAGGTGAGTCAGCAGTATCTGACCATCAGATGGCAGTATATTTACAGATTGTATTTGCAGAATCTTTACAGATTTAATGAATATTTGCAGCTTTGCATAGGAACTTGAGGTCACACATATGTACTGAAGAGAAATGTATGTCGTGATCTGAGAAGATTTTGTCTCCCTAGTGCTCGAGGGCCATGTTGAAGCTGATGTCAGAATGCTGGGCCCACAATCCTGCATCACGCCTGACCATCCTACGAGTCAAGAAGACTTTGGCAAAAATGGTGGAATCTCAAGACATTAAAATCTGATCAGCAGAGTGGCTTTTATTTTGTTTTTGACATCATTGTCCCCTTCAGGAGAAACAAGCTCTCTTCTTCTGTTGGATCAGACATGTTGACTTTGCTGCTTTCTGTGAAAGCTGTATCATTGTGAAGTTGGATCAGAGGATTACTACAACAGACAAAAACACTGGAGTGGGACCTTCTGGAGAGATAAAGTAAACCCCACTGCCTTAAAATATGTTTCTTTAGATTCTGGGATAAACCTCCTGCCATATGGATGAAATGCTGTTGACTTCTCATGGAATCTGTGTAAAGCATACTGTGATTTAATGTATGACATGTAAATATATTATTATAGGAGTAGATGTACTGAAAACAGAGCAAAACGATATACTATCAATATAATCTCGTCCAGTTAACAGCTGTTGTAGACTATCTAGAGGAAGACTATCTGTGCCTCTTGCAGCCTAACGTGTGGCTTTTAAAAATCTTAATTCAACTATATAGTACTTCTCTTTACATGTTCTCTGATAATAATGTTTCTTAATGAAATAAGACCCTGACAGAAGGTTAAAGATAAAGAGATGCATGCCATTCATGATTTTGTTGCATGAACAATATATTGTTTGCAATGTTTAAAGCATGCCATTTTTACCATCCTCAGAATAGAAAACATTCTCAATTGAATCTTTCACTTTTTTGACCATATTTTTAAAAAGTAAGCCAGCTGTCAAAACAGCTCATTTTATAGGTTAGAAAACAGTTCATACTCACTGATGTTTGCAGTCGAGTGGGATCTCCTGCTAGCAGCGATTTGGCAACCTTGAACACCACTTCAGAGTTGCCAAAACTCAATGTAGTGTTTGTGGGGGTGATATGTGCTTTCTGGTTGGCGTGATACAGTTGATACATTCCTGAGTTTCCTTCATTCAGAGAAGCTGAGTCTTTTTTTTTTCTTGGTACAGGATGCTATCAGCAGGCCCGCCGACAGGGGGGGACAAACGGGTCTGTTGTCCCGGGCCCAGGGTAGGGAGGGGGGCCCAGAACTGGGCCCTCATTAAATTATGGAATAATTGAAAAAAAAATAATAAAAAAATAGGCATATTTGTTGAAAAAAATCTAATATTTGAGTTACATAAAAGCTTTTTATTCGTTTTCTTCCTAATTGTCCTTGAAATAGTGGTCAAGAACCCCCCCCCCCCCAAACAAAAATGGTTTGGCCACTGATCGAAATATGATGTTGTCATTTCATTTGAAGTTCAGTAGGCTAACGTTACGCTCAAAATGTCAGCACAAGTCCGGTGCTCAGAAAAGAAAAGAAAAGAGAAGAAGAAAATAGAGGCCCATCTAAGATTATCTTGTCCCGGGCCCAGGCAAGACTGTCAGCTGGCCTGGCTATCAGTATGAATGTGACTTGGTTTAAAGCGCTAACCTTTGAGGATTTGGTGATATTCTGATCGTATGTCTTTGCCAATTTTATTAATCATGTTTTGAACACTGTTTATGTTTTTGGGGTGCCTGAAGTTGAAGGGTATGACTGTAAGTAACATCTGTTAGTCATCATTGCGTAATATTTCACTTGGGGCTGCCAAAATATGGTCTTGGTAACTGGTATAGTCCAAAATACACATTATTGTTACATAACATGTTTACAGAACTCCCGTGCAGATTTAATTATATTATTCCTTTAAAAAATGCAGTGTTGTATCCCAGAATACTTGTTTATTATTCTTAGTGCCATTGAAAAGAACAGTGTGATTTGTTAATAGTAACAAAACAACAATTCACAATAGCTCTTTACACCAATATCTGGGCCCTTAAAGACAGGAAGTGTGAATGTACAATGCTTTAATAATGTCAGTGCCAGACTAAGGTGCTTTGTCACGATTTTAGTACAGTATGCCCTGAAATGCCAAAAGGGCATCTTGATTAATACAAAATGTCAAGGTTACTGACATGCTTATAAAACAATTTAAAATATTCTGAAAATAAATAATAGATCTAAGAAAGGAAACACTCACCTCAGTGCGGTTAACTTCAACATACAGTACAATATGCTAGAGAAACATTAAATTGAGTGTATATGGAAATACATTTGTAGCTTTTACTATACAGGTAATCTAAAATTGAATCTGTGAAACTTCTCTATATCAAATGCATTTCTTTGGCTGAAAAGGGTCCGTCAAGTTAGCATTTGATTGCTCTAAAGAAAGACAAATCCTCTCATTGTGACTATTCCGATGGTTTTGTGTCCATCCCAAATGGCTTCTGTTCTTTACCCGAAAACCGACAATACACCTTCTCACCATAAGCAGAGCTATGAAGTATGTTGATAGGACATGAGTTTTACCATACTGTATATATGCCTGTAGATATGTCAGTGTGCTTTACCATAGTATCACCCAGCCCACCTCTGTGTAATATATTAAAAAGTCTTTAGTGTTTAATTTGTAAAAGTTTTTGTTTTATTTAACCACATGTTGAAAGGGTGCCGTTTGCCGTATAAGTAGGCCTCATACTATGTATAATGTTTGTCCATGTAATCTTTTAAAAAATATAATTTTAGTACGCAATTGTTATCTGTGGTTTTGATGTGTCTTATATTTTACAGAAAATGTACAATATCTTGTAATCTATTTAGGGCACAGAGTATGTGAGGAATATAATGTAGTTGTCACATTGAAGCCAAATGTAAGAGTTCTGATATCCCACCAAACAGGGCCACATCATCTAAATCTTAGTACTTGCAAACAATGCTCAATGTCTCAATAACCTGCCCCTATTAATAACTACATGAGCTGTTGTTTAAGTCTCTCAGATCCTGAAAGAAAAAATGTAAATGGTGGGCAGTGCAACTAAAAAAAGGTTCTTTCAGTCTTTTTGCACCTTTAGAGTGTTGCTTGTTCTCAGGTGGTCTGCAGCATTAGTAGGCCAGCAAATGTGTTATCTTGCGGGTTGTTGCGCTCTATGGTTCCCTGCACCAGGTCAAGACGGAGTTCCTCTCCTTGGTCCATCTGCAGGATACAGACACGTGTTGCAGGTGCACCCAACTTCCTTGGGTTCTGCCGTAAGGAGGCAGCTACCTCTCCACCTCTCTTTAATTGAGCCAGAGCTGGGCCTGGTCCAAAGTCCAGTGTCACCACAAAGAGATAGGCACCAGAAGTAGGAGCACGGAATGTGCCTGTTTTTGGTGAGTATAACTGTCCATGATTTAGGGCCACGCTTTCAAAAAGGATTGTGCCAGATCCGTTAGAACCTTCTGTACTGCTGGCCAGGAACATAATTGGACTATCTGGGAGTTGACGAAGCACTGTTTGGAATCAAATAACGGGTAAGGTATTAAAATATGAATGCTGAGAGGTAGGAAAAAGAGGACACTTAGTGCAATTACAAATGACTTTCACTGGGGGTGCTCTTGTCATACAAATGAAACCAACTAACCTGTACTCTAGTCTAGATTCAATATGAATAAATATTAAACCGTGGCCACGATTTAACCAAAACGAGGTTGTGGGAATGAAATCTTAATTTGTAACCATGAGATCTTTTTTTTTTTTTTTTTTTGTCATATGGAAGTGCAGTGCTTTAACAGAGTAACCCCTGAGGCAGGGATGGGCAACTTCGGTCCTGGAGGGCCACTGTCCTACAGAGTTTAGCTCTAACGCTGAAAAAATCACCTGCCTGTAACTTTCTAGTAATCCTGAAGACCTTGATTAGCTTGTTCAGGTGTGTTTGATTAGGGTTGAAGGTAAACTCTGTAGGACAGTGGACCGAAGTTGCCCATCCCTGCCCTGAGGTGACATTTGCAGAAAAAAAATTAATTCATGAAAAAGAAAAGAAATTATTAAGAGTTTGAATAGTTTTACAAGATACTATGTTTAAATCTCATCTTCTTACCTGCATACTCCAGTGATGCATCTCTCTTGCTGCGGAAATTCACTCGATCCCCCCTGTCTGCTCTCTTCTTTTGTTTCTTGTTTTGTTGCTTTGCTTCCTTTTTCTTAATCAAAGCTGACAATTTATCCATATCCACCGACACCTCAGAGTCAGCAAGTCCCTCTGTGTTACTGAAAATGGCGTTAAAAACTCCAAGGTGGGTCTCTAGGTCCTTACGCAAAGTATCCACCTCAGCCTGCAGTTCCACCTCCACACCACCAGCGGCAGCAGTTTTATTGCAGTTGCAGCAAGAAGGACAACGATATTCCTCAAGCCGTTTGATGTGAGCTTCAAGCTCTTTTACCGTTTTCTCTAAAGTCCAGAAGTCATCATCAGAGTACTCTGGCTGTTCCTCGGAAAGGTCAAATTTTTCATCCCCACGTCTCCTTTTGACGCCCACCGAGGCCCAGTCTGCAAGCACAGAGGGCTCATCTGCTGCTGTCACCTGAGGGGTAGCAGAGTTCACCATTGAGGCTAAGCTGAGGCTGTGTCCATTGATCTGCTCTTGCATGGTTCTAATGCTTTCCCTCAATTCTGGTATAGAGTAACGTCTCTGGTCTTGGTGAGACCACTCCATGAACTCCAGCACCTCTTCCCCAAGCAAAATCTCTAGCACCTCAGAGTGACGAACCGCATCCTGAAGCAAGGTGTTAAAAATGCTATGTAAGTGCTCAATCTTCTCGACCTTGGTCCTGTCCAGCTCCTGGAGTGTTTCAATGTCCTGCTTGTTGTCCTGGAAAGAGGCCTGGAGCTGGGTCACATTGTGCTGTAACATTCTGCTCTTTTCCTGCTCAAAAGCAAGGGACCGTTGCACATTCAATAACCCTAGTTTGAGATCTTCCACGGATGGAACCCAAGCACCATTGTCCCGATTGTCTAACATCTCCTGTGCCTCACGCTCCCGGGCCAGCTTGTTTTCATTCACTATCTCCATCACATTAGCTACACTTTGTTCCAACTGGGTCACAGATACTCCAAGAGCGATACAGTCACATTCCCCACTTGCTGAACTTATATTCTTATAATACTCTGTATAAAGATAATCGACATCAGTTTCCATCTCCTGCAGGGCACTCTGGAGAACACTGATGTTGCTGCTCAGCTCATTAATACGGTCAAGTACTGCTACCTTCGCTGCCTCCACCTCCAAACCAGTCTCCATAAACTGAACCTGGCTGTTGCGGCCAGTCTGGACTATTTTGTTGTCCAGATCTGACCAACTATCCTGGAGGTTCTTGATGTTTGCAGTCACTTGTTCGTGGCCTTCAATCAAGGTACTAAGTCTAACTGTGTCGTTTATGACTTTGTTGTCCAGACGCGTGATGGCCTCCCATACAGCTGTGCTATCATGAGACTGACTCTGTGTGGAATCGACCTTATTTTCAGGCCGAATCTTCTGAAATTCCTCGTCCAGCCTCTCTTGCTCCTGTATCACTTCAGACATTGATGTGTTCAGAGACTGGAGATTTACCTAGAGCGAGATATACACATTCAGTACAATGTTATGCATGTACAAAAATCATCTGAGGTTGTTTGAGGTTAAGTAAAAATTCTGACCTGCAACATCTTTTGGTGACGTTTGATTTTGACGTCTATGTCCATCTTGAAGTTTGTTAGGTTGTAGTGCAGCATGGTTTTCTGTGCGTGGAGCCTCTCTTCTACCTCATGGCGATGGTTGTGAAACTGAGATTTGACCTCCTCCAGTTTCTGTAAACTCTCCCTCACCTTATCCTCAACAGCCTCCTGTAGATTGTGCTCCTCACCACCAACCTCTAGAGGCTCAGCGACCCTTCCCTGCCCCTGATCATGTCGGAGTTCGGCCATGTCCCGCTGCAAACCCTGCACCTCCTGAAAGAGCCGTTCCAGGGTTAGATTGAAATTCTCCAACACAGGCTGCAGCTGAGACATCACAGCTTCTTTCAAGATCGGCAGGAGCCCGTAGTGAGCGTAAGATGATTCAGGGTGAGGAACGCCTTCATTTACAGCATAAGGGTCTGAAAAAAGATGGACATCTGCTATATGTGGGCTCATTTATAAAATGTTGCATAGAAACCGTCCTACATTTGATCTTACGATCATTTCTCATATGTGCGTACGCGTGATTCAGAGAACGAACGTACGGACAGAAAACGTGCGTACGCCTCTCTTTCAGATGTGAAATTTATAAATCGCAGATGATCTTGAAATTGTGCACAGCTGAATGGTTTCAGATCTCGGCCTTGTAAACGCCCCCCAATTAATGTCACAACAGAGCACCAGTCAACATCTAAATCCTTTACTTGCGAACGACGAGAGTCAAGAATTGCTTAGATTTCCAAATACCTGCAATACTCCACAAGAAAAAGTGCTTCTGCTTAGACAATGATGTGGCTCTAAGCACGTTTCCACATCAAAGGTTTTAGTGTACACGCACTATAAGTTCAAATGAGGCCCGTGAACTTTGAATTGGCCTTGTTTAGGGAGAATCTTAAAATAGATGTTCTCATTATTTTCTACGAACACTCTAAGCAACTTACAAAGAGGGGAATCCCAGAAACAATAATATTTTGGAGGATAACCACCACATTGCCAAAAATAGAAATTTGATCTATTGACATTCTTGGATAATAATTTTCGCTGTGGTGCTGTTTGTTCAGTTTGACTTTCTATGCTGCTCAAGAGGAAACATCGATATCATTTTGGAAAGATTTATATCTCAATTTCCAGTTCAGGTTGGGTCATTCATCTGAACTTTGAACCTTTAATTGACCAGTGAACAGCCCAGGGTCTTTTACATCCCCAGCGTTGAAATAAAGTATGTGTGTGGTATATTTTGATCGTGAGTTAGGGAAGAGTTTTAAGAAAGAAGAGATCTCTACATGTATAAGTTCCCTGCTGGGAACCTGACATAGAGGTCATGTACCGTTTTTGTTCTTTTTATTCACATGCTGTCAAAACACTGTCTGGAAAAGCTTCAGAATTTATGCTCCTGCTGCTTTTTTCTCATGTTGTAAAGTCTAGGATATATGATTGAGTCATGTTTTATTATCCTGACAACATTGTTTTTCACTGTTTGAACCACATTTCACACAGACCTCTGCTCCTACTCAGAACAACAGAGTAACAAGGGGAAAATTCTCCATTCAAACTTCAAAGTTTTTTTTCTTCCTTTTGTCTTCATTTTGGAAGAGAATAAACTTTTAAAAGAGGCTCTCAAGCGTTATGTATGTGGCAAATGTGTCTTTACATCAATAACACTGCAGTTTTCTTACTGTTGTGAGTGGCTGGATTCAATCTATATTTGAACCACTGTGTCATTTCCATAGACCATTACATCACTCTCACAACCATACAATGTATGGGAGCCTTTTTCCCAGGGAAGAGAGGATATCCTGTGCAGGAACTAGTAATGTGAAGAGATGGTGAGGAGCTGTTATAGAAGAAGAATGGAGGTTTTCCCCCTGTCTGCAGCATTATTTCTGTTCTGTTCTGCATAGCAGGATATAAGTGAGACCGGTACTTGACGAGACAGACAGAATAATATCCCCATAATATCTCTGACAATGCATATTACAACCAAAGGATGTGTCTAGTAACCATTTTGTTATGGATAACGTCCATAAGTAACGTTTGTATGTACAAGAGAGTAGGAAGAGAGACCTACTGAATGCTCTCTTTTGTTGTTGAGAATATTACAAGAGGTTATCATAAAGGAAAATGGATAACTGCTAATATAGAGTACTATAGGAATTACATATTTTTGAAGGCTGACTCGAAAGTTATCATCACCCTGGTTTCCGTGACAAAAACCCAATAGGATTTTTTCATTAACTTTCAGTGACCAACAAAAGTTTCTGATTCTTACGTTTTGTTCATCAAGGTACTCTTCACAATAGACAACGTTTTATGACTCGTGAAACTCAAACGCAATCGCCAGAAGTAAAAAAGCGAAAGTTAAAGGTTTTCAACTTTTCATGTTAAAAATACCTGTTTTTCTATCCTATACATGCTTAAAGAACTGCCTGATGGGCTGAATGAGCCCTTCTCTGCGCACTGAGATTGCCTCTATAATCCTGTACAGTAAAATATATAAGAGGGATTCGGGCTCGAATTTGAGACTGGGCGTGACGTCATACGCGTTCACGCTCACCAGGCTATGTCTCGCAGGTTTGTGTATTCGCCGGCGTCGCCATTCTTAGCATCAGCGAAGCCGAAGACAACTCGTGCGTCAAAGGTAGAAGATGGATTCAAAGAGACCGGCTTGTAGTCCATTCCAAACCCCAACGCAAACTCCACGTAAAGTAAAGAAAAGAAAAATGTTGTCTAGTGCCACCAAAAGGTCCAAATTGGAGTCAGACAGGCGTTGGAGTAAGACGAGAGTCAACCTCGGAAAGGCATTCAACAAATGGAGAGATCTCCGGTCTGCTCTTGGTCTCAAACGGGAATCCTCAGTTGGCTTTTTTCTTGATAAAACGGTAAGATATAGCCCAGTATCTAATGTTTGATACGGCCAATCTATGTATGACAACAAATGACGATGCGTAAAATGTGTAATGCTTTAGCGCAAGCTAGATACATGTACAAGTAGAATTGGTTTTACTACCATTGTTAGTGAACAGTTTCATAAACTAGGAATTGTGTTCGGAAGAATAGTACAACATGAAACATAAAACATAACCAATAAAAGATGCGTGTGGTCCATGAGCGTGCACAACTCTGGTTGCAGTTTCGCTTGGCGCCAGAGGGGGCATAGTTCTGCAAAAACTCAGAGACTTGCGTTTTGCACCTTTAAGCTATAAATAAACTCCACTTTCAATCTTTATTTAAAATCCACAAGTTGGAACATTGAAGTTAGAATAGTGTGCGGGTATAAACACACAAGGGAGTAAAAGCGGACTAATAATATGTGTTTTTCTTTTTGGCGTGTTGACCTCTGGAGTCCCATTTAGACACTTGTTAGCAACGGCCTTTTTCCATTTTAAAACACAAGTGGGGTATCACTGATATATGTTTTGGTGTAGAATAAAAGTGAGCTTGTGAGAATAAAATCTCAAGCTTGTGTTTAACCACAGACCTAAGCAAAGCCAATGAGCTTAAACATTAAGTGGGAGCAGTCATTTGGAAGCAAAACACTAATTAGTCATTTTTAGATGTTCAAAGCATGGAAAATAGTTTCTAACTGTTGAATCAAACGGCCTTTTCTTAAATCGTCACAGTTTGTACACATCTGCGAGGTATGTTGCATGTAAAGTTTAGCATACCTCTCCTCTCAAAGTGGTGGCTGTTCTGGTGCTCATGGTCAGAATGAGGGCTGGGCTCATAATCATTGATGGACTCCGTTGCAGTTTGATTCTCTACATCAGGTTGTTGAGCTTCATACAATGGACCGCCAAATATTTGGAAATCATTCTGCTCTCTGTTCTCTTGAGTTCGTTTGTTATATCCTTAGGAGAGACAAGAAAAAAATGTTATGTGGCGTTTTGGAACTGTATCGATTGATGGTACCTTTGCCATCAGACAGATTTGTTATTTTGTTATTCACTGCATGAATGCAACCTGTGCACTTTGGACTGTGTATTTGAATCACAGGAAGGTCATTAGTTTGTGTGCTTGGTATCAGA